AAACCTGAACTCTCTTCTGTGCTGTTTCCAAAACTTCAATTCAGCGATAAATGAATGTTTATGCTAATTTTCTGTTTCTTCGTTTCAAACTAAGAAAGTTGTTGTTAGATTCTACATGACGCCCACACATGTTTGAAGAATGCACAGATGTGGCCAGTGATGCATGTAGACAGACGGACGTGCAGACGCCATTTTCAAACATAAAGAACAAAAACATATTTAGCAAAAGAGATTAAAGGCTTTCACTCAGCGGTTTTTGTAGCTCTTGGGATTTTTGCAGTTTCTCTTGCAGGGCGAACCTGGATTAATCAGGGAACTAAAGTAAGTGTTGGTTCCCTGAAAAGATTGTAATCTAACGCTGTTCTTTGTGTGGTTCAGGTCCATGGATCGGTGGGTGAGCCCTGGTGGCTGTGGGTGGAAGATGCCATGAATGATCACATCTACCACTCTGAGTATTTCCTCCTGCAGAAGAAACAGGTTTGCTGTACGAGTCTTAGCTCAGATGAACACCAAGAGCAGAGGATGACGGCGTCTGTTCTCCTCAGGTGGTGTCGGGAGAGCCGCAGCACATCGTCTTCACCATTCCCATCTTTGAGCCGCTGCCCTCGCAGTACTACATCAGGGCCGTCTCTGACCGATGGCTCGGTGCTGAAGCTGTCTGCATTATCAACTTCCAGGACCTGATCTTACCAGAGCGACACCTGCCAGCCGTGCCAGCGCCATCTTACCCTCCGACCACACATACATGACACAAACATCACATGGGGGAGACAGAGAGGTGTAACAATGGAAAATACACCACATGAGGAAAGACACCCTCTCCCCACTTTCCAGTTCCTCCTGGGGGATCCCACAGTGTCCCCATGTCCTGGTCACCTCCCAGTTCGTCCTACCCAGAAAACCTCCAAAGGGACGTGTCAAGGAAACATCCCTGAACCGCACGCAGGCGCTCTACTCCGAGCTCATCGCCCTGTCTGTAAGCCTGACCCAGCCGCCCATTAACAGCCTTATTTGTAAGGGACCAACGTGCTGCACAGCAGAGTAAAGACATCGAGACAGGTTCAAATGGAAAAGAAAACAACAAAAATGAAATCAACAGGCGGTGACCAGCCA